AATCAATTAAGAGAGATAAAAACAATTTAAATCAAACAAAAACACGTATATCTGCTCCTATGGATTCACATGTAAGATGCGAACGAAAGCTAAATTTCACCTCAGAAAAACGGCATTACCATAACAACGTGATATCAACAAAAAAGTACCAATTATGACAGGAGAGGCAATTTTTTTAAGTTATCAAATAAATCATTAAACTGGTAATGACTAAAATTAATATGCTTGAAAATTGTAATTGGTGTGATATTTTAACTATTACACTTTAAATAAAACCAAGTCCCATTTATCAAGAATTTATCATTATACTAATAGAAATAAGACATTACAAAAAAAGGAAACTACATCTAGCCACATTATTTCTGAAAATACTAGAAAGAAAAGTAAGGCGTAATATAAGTTAACATGGAAAACACTTGTAGATGATAAAATTTTTCTGGTTTTTGGTGAACATAAAAAAATAAAACAAGTGTGTTTTTATTCAAATCTTTATTGGAAGTTAAAAAATATCATTAAAATAAATGTGATTAACGTATCATTCATGAATATGCTTTGAAACACCAGAAGTAAAAAAATGCTGGTAAAATAAACATTGAGGTAAAAATATTAGTATTATGCGCATTAGTAATAAAACAGGAGTACCATAATCACTTTTTACAAAACAGTTTTGAGTGATGAGTTTAAATGTTAATGCATTAAAAAACTCTAATAAGAATACTTATCAAGAAAGTATAGACAGCATTACTCAATTGGACTAAAAATGTAAATGATACTGTAATAAATAAAATGTGAAACTTAAAACATTTAAAACATATTATGGCCACTTATGCAGACTGAAATGTGTCGGAATTTATTCTAGCTGGACATACATAAAACATTACATTCTTAAAAATAAAATTAAAATTTTTAAATAAAGCTTCGTAAAAAGGTCTGTGATATCTTGGGATGAGATTTTTCTCTTATCAAAATCCAATTAGAATCTGCTTTTTTCCTAGTCAGCTAAACCATGGTATCTGTTGTGAATATGCAGTAGTCAATTCCTATATTAATGTTGTTCTTTTTTTTTTATCACGAATTGCCTTCGAAACCCTTCATCAGCATATGAATATTAAGAAAAGATATGACCGAAGGATCATCCTTTTCGAAACTTAATTAACCTTAATTTCTCGAACAGTGTAGATAGGGTTGTTATCCATAATCTTTTGTTAAAAGTTAATAATTCATTTGATTACATACGATTTTCCAATCATATAATAATCTACGTAACCACATTTCGTTGACATGAATACGGAAAGGACTTTTTTTTCCTCGCAGCCTGTATGGGCACCTATATACAAGCATCAGGGGAATACATTGGTCGTGAACTTAAACGGTCTCTGGTAATCGCCTCGTCCAATTTGAGAATGTGCCTTGAGCTCTGCCCCTCATATTTGTGTATGTCCTTAAATAAAATAATTTGTGTGTTATGGACCTAAGATTTGGTAAATGTTGTACAGCGTACAAGTAAAGGGCAAACTATAAATTTGTTTTTCTGTTGACCTGCGCAGTTGTCTGAATAAAAAACAACATCAGATCTTGGCGGTTTTTGAATGTATTCATTAGATATTTGAATACGCATGTCCCAATTTCATTAAACACCCCATTAGCATTCGTTTCATCCCAACATAACATTCAACTACATTATTTTGAATATTGTATATTGTGAGGTTAAGTACATTTAGTTTTGATTTGTATTAAAATACTGAAACGTCGCCTTTAGGACACTGAAAGACAGCTTGAAGGTCATACACAGCAACAATAATATTCTCGTCGTTTTTATCTTTGTCTTTTCAACGCGTGGATAACTTCCTTTTCCTTCAAGTGTTTCCTCATAATTACTTTTCTTGTTTCTTTTTCTTCGGCTGTAGATATTTTATATGCTTCGCACTCCTCACATAAGTCTTTTCGTACAAAAGGAAATATTAAATATCTTGTGTGAATATACGATAGAACGGTGCTTTAAGGTTGCAAAAGGAAAGGTTTTTCTTCTTACATTCTTCTACGTAATCCCTGTGTAGATCTGTTACCGTTTTACTGCCATCAATGAAGCACCTAATTCGAATGCGCTCGAATATAATGGGATTCTACTTTCGGAATTGCTTTTATGAACTCTCTAACTCATTCTTTATGTTTTCATCTAACTTGCTATGATTTTCATGGCACCCACGTTGATCCTTCATGGAAGAAAATATTAGTATATATTATTCTTTTTTTCTAAAGCTGTTACGATTGGACGGTTGTTAATACTGAATGTGTTTTAAAAAAGGGTTTACAATACTCTGATATTTCACCCAGACACAGTTAAAAAATATGCATTATTATTTTCACGCTTTGGAGCAACACATCCCTGAGCATCAAATTTTACATAACGATGTTTGTGGGACAACTGTTTCGACGTTGTTCGCTAAGAATGTCCATTGTTTTTCAATGTCCCCCAGAGCCCAGTATTGTGCTAAAAGTTGTTGCCGCTGACGCTCTGTGATATTTACTTGACAGTTGAATGTACAGGTATCTTTGCATGGTGGCTGTAAAGAGCGTTCGGGGACAATTTTACCGGATTTGGGGATTGGTATGCTTTTCCACTATTTCTTAATTTTTTCACAACATTTTTCTTCCATTCCACTCTCCTTTCTTATTCCTTCTTTCCCTTTTTCATTGCTGTTTCATCAATTACTGGCGACTCAAAGCTGCGCAGTAGTTACACTTTCCTCTGCGTTAGTTGGATGTACATTTAAGATGTCCTGTAACGTTTTATCTTGATAAGTATCTTGGTATGAGGTGTCAATAGTAATCGATGTAGAAGGAGGAATTTCTTTATTACTTTGTTGAATATAGAATGTTGTCACAGCAGTTCCCGATATCATCATCAAAACTTTCAGTCATACGTTTTGGCTTTGGCTCTTCTAGTTCATAATTTGGGATCCTTGACAGAGTCATCACTATGCTACAAAATAAAAAAAATAATTTGTAGACCAGTAAAAAAATAAGAAAGTTACAATATTTGGGACGCGTAATGAGGGAACGGCGATATGAAATGCTAAAACCAGATAATACAGGGAAAGATAAAGAAGGAGTATAGGAAGAAGGAGACTGTCATGGTTGAAGAATTAAGGGACATTGTTTTAAATGAAGTTCTAGAGAGACTCCTCAAAAAAATAAAGATAATGATGATGATATCCAACCTCCGATTAGGAGACGGCACTTAATGAAGGAAGACTAGTGAAAACTAACAAACTAATAACAAAGTAACGTTACTAATAAAGTACTTAACCTTCGTACGAATGACGAAATAGTCTTTCTAGAACTATTTAGATGAGCTACTTGATGAACTACTAGATGAAACTGCTTGATGATCTGCCTTAATTGAAATGCGGCTACCCGTCGATTCGCAGGCGATCATTGTTTTTCCGGGATGTAACTACGCCTCCATGCTTCGTCTCCTCTCCTAAAAAACCACAAGATTAATTATCTACAAAATATTTATTATCCATAGCAAATAATAAAATTTATAAAATTCTCACATTACCAAAACATTA